AATCTTGTGATTCGTGTATCTGGCTATGTTAAATTTAATTGGAATTTTTTTTTAAAAAGTAAACAAAGTTGCACTTTTATATGACTGGTTTCTTCTTTAAAACCTGTCTACACTGGTGAAAGTTTTATTTATTTATAGACTATGGCTCTGGGTCTTTGTTGCTATAGAGGCTTTCTCCAGTTGGCAAGAGGGGCTAGTCTTTAGCTGTAGGCTTCTAACCACAGTGGGTTCTCTCATTGCAGAGCCCGGGCTCTTGGCACACAGGCTTCAGTCGTTGCTGGATGAGGGCTCAGTAATTTTGGCACATGGGGTTAGTTGCCCCACAGCAGGTGGAGTATTCCCAGACCAGGGATTGATCCTTTGTGCCCTCATTACAAGGCAGAGCATTAACTATGGAACCACCAGGGTAGTCCAAGAGTAAATTTTTAAATTCACAGGCTCTCTCCCCCAGAATTGCTGGAATATTGTTAAATGAAATGAAAATAATGTTAGCAGATCTGATCAGTATAAACAAAATCTATTGCCTCTAATGACAGAAAGGTGGAAGATAACTCATTTTTAAGTCAGATTGCTAGTTGGATGGTGGACGTCAGCTATGACATCTAAATTTGCAGTGTTTGATGATGATACAAGGTCTTCTTTTCTTCATGTTTATAAGCCTGGATGCTTTGATTAACATGATGTGTTGAATACCTCTTGGAGTATTTGGAATGTCCTAAGTTAATGCCAGAGCAAGGGAATTTACTTACAACTTCCCAGACATAAAGTTATGATTTTGTGAGCAAGGGTTTGAATGGATAGAGATAGCTGTTAAATATTTCCAACAGAAAAATAAAAATGTTGCATATCTCCAACAGAAAAATAAAACGTTTTAATATTACATATGTACTCTTGACATTAGGGAAACCATGTAACTTCAAACATGGCAATATTGTACACTGGACTATCATTTATCTTTCAGTACTATTGCTATCAAATTTTCTTAACAATATCTCTAACTAAATGTTTTAATATTTAAAATCTATTCTCAGTTGATGTGAACATGAGTTAAAACTTTCCTCATTTCAGGAATAGTTTAGAACAGATGATTGGGTTTCTAAGTTGGCTTGAGCTGGGTTTTATGGTACTTACTCATTAATAATGATGCTATTAAAGTGCTGCACTCAGCAAATCTGGAAAACTCAGCAGTGACCACAGTTCTGTAAATGTCAGTTTTCATTCCAAAATCAAAGAAAGGCAATGCCAAAGAATGTACAAACTATGGCACAATTACACTCTTCTCATATGTTAGCAAGACCATGCTCAAAATTCTTTAAGCTAGACCTCAACACTACATGAACAGAGAACTTCCAGATGTACAAGCTGGATTTAGAAAAGGCTGGATTTAGAGGAACCAGAGACCAAATTGTCTTGACTGTGTGGATCACAACAAACTGGAAAATTCTTAAAGAGATAGGAATACCGGACCACCTTACCTGTCTCCTGAGAAACCTGCATGCAGATCAAGAAGCAGCAGTTAGAACAGGACATGGAACAGGCTGTATAATGGCTGTATAATGTCACTCTGCTTATTCAACTTTTACCCAGAATATATCATGCGAATAACCTGGCTGGATGAAGCTCAAGCTGATGGCAGAAAACAAAGAGGATCTAAAGAGACTCTTGATGAGAGTGAAAGAGGAGAATGAAAAGCTTGCTTAAAACTCAACATTCAAAAAACTAAGATCATGGCATCTAGTCTCATCACTTCATGGGAAATAGAAGTGGAAAACAGTGACAGATTTTATTTTCTTGGGCTCCAAATTCACTGTGGATAGTGACTGCAGCCATAAAATTAAAAGACACTTGCTTCTTGGGAGGAAAGCTATGACAAACCTAGAAGGCATATTAAAAAGCAGAGACATCATTTTGCTGACAAAGGTACATATAGTGAGATCTGGACAATAAAGAAGGCTGAGCACTGAAAAATTGTTGCTTTTGAACTGTGATGCTGGAGAATACTCTTGAGAGTCCTTTGGCCTGCAAGAGCAAACCAATCAATCCTAAGAGAAATCAATCCCGAATATTCATTGGAAGGACTGATACTGAAGCTGAAGTTTCAATAGTTTGGCTACCTGGTATGAAGAGCTGACTCATTGGAAAAGACCCTGATGCTGGGAAAGGTTGAGGGCAGGAGGAGAAGGGGGTGACAGAAGATGAGATGGTTGAATGGCATCACCAACTCAATGGATATGAGTTAGAGCAAAGTCTGGGAGATGGTGAAGGACAGGGAAGCCTGACATGCTGCAGTCCTTGGGGCAGCAAAGAATGAAATAGGACTTAGCAACTGAATGAAAACAATTCATTAATTATGAAAATTTGACAAGTTACATACTTATCTGAGACTCAACTTCTTTATCCATAAAATAGGCATCATAATACCTATTTCAGAGCATGTTGAAAAGATTCAATTTGATAAGCAATATAAAGTCCTTACTGCATGCTTAGTATTCAGTAAAAGTACAGTAACTTTTGGGTAGTAACAGCTTCCAACCTGAAAAGAAACCACTTCTTTATTCTCATACTATTTCTTCATCCTGTAATATTCACAATGATACGCTCTGGTGGGAAGAAAGTGTTTCCACAGAAAGTAAAACCTAATTCAACATTGGTGTACAGGTAGTTTATTTTGGGAAGTGATTCTAGAAAATAGGACTGAGAAGCTAGAAATAGGGAAGAGGGACATAGAAGTATGTATAGATGTGGACAGCTGAGTTTCATGGGTCCTTTGAGAACCATGTAGAATGTCTAAGGGAAGGAAAAGGGGAACATATGGTCCGCTGCTTCTGTCTTCCATTAATTGAGTTTCTGTGGAGCCATTAAATTGTCATATAGGTTTGTAGTATGTAAATGATGAGACTGTTGGTTCTAGCAGATGGACAACATTAGCGGCAGAGAAGAGAAAGTGAGAAAGAGCCCAGCTGAGGTGTCAGGGTTTATTTACTACAATGCTTGTTGCTGCAGGATGTGTAGCTGATTAAACCATGTGAGGAAGGACAGAAGTGTGTGAAATGAAGATATCTCCTGCCATACCAATATACAATAAATGTCACAGCCATCAGAAATGTCTGGCCTCCAAATGTGAATGAGGGCTTCCCAAACTGCAATGCAGCAGATGCTGCCATTCCCCAAGGCGACTGCTGAGAAGCTGGGGGAATACAAGAAGCAGCCATCTGCACTTCTTCAGGTGAACAAGGAAAGGAAAGAGGATTGGCCCCAGATAGCTGAGGTGCATTATGAAAGGAATTCATTCAGTGGGCCCAGAGGGTTGCATCTTCCCATACACAGAATGCAACATTCCTTAACCTGATATCTGGTTTTTCTTACCTCACAATAATCTTTGCTGTTCAGGCTGCCTGCTTCCTTTGTTACAAACTTGTAGATAGCCTGACTCCCTCTCCTGCCCCCTTGGAGCAGTTTTCTGATAGCTACTGAGATGCTATCTTCCAGGCTCAGAGTCCTTAACATTCTCACCAAATAAAAGAACTCTCTACTTTAAGACTGTGACTATATTTTTAGTTGATAAGTGGCATTTCATACATGAGTCTTCATAGCAGTCATGTGTCCTCAATGACTCTTGAGATTTGAAAGCAATTCAGATACTTCTGTTTCAAAGCCTACCATTTGAGCTCCATGGCTTAAGTAATTTTCTTTATGGCAAAGACAAAAGTTTGTCGTCTCGTTCTAGTAGATCTACAACTGTGAGACCCTTGATGGTGATTTCTATGCTGAGGAGTCAATCAAGAAGACACATTCTCCAGGTGAACTGAGATTCATGGTTTTTTTGTTTGTTTTATAAATTTATTTATTTGTGACCGTACTGGGTCTTCATCACTGCAGGGGCTTTTCTCTAGTTGTGATGTGTGGGCTTCTCATTCTGGTGGCCTCTCTTGTTGTGAAGCACAGTGTCTAGGGTGCGTGGACTTCAGTAGTTTCAGTTCCTTAGCTTTAGAGCACAGGCTCAGTAGTTGTTGCGTATGGACTTAGCCATTCTGTGGCATGAGGGATTTTCTGGGAACAGGGATCGAACCGGTCTCCTGCATTGGCAGACAGATTCTTTACCCCTGAGCACCACGAAGGCCTGAGATTCATGTTTTGAAGTGAGTCCTTTGCCCTAAATGCTGTCAAAGAAACTGAAACAATCCACAAAGTCTATTTAGTCCCAAGTGTCGACTTAGAAACCTCAATGGAGACAATTAAATTGAGAAATTGCTTTCTTTTTTTTAAATAGTTTCAAAATATTATATTCTCATCTCTGTGGATGAGTGAATACTGCTTACCTTTCTTACTATGGAACTTATAACTTATTTTGAGTTTTTTTTTTTTTTTAACTTTAGGGGGAAAATAACACTTAGAAAGCTTGCTCCTGGAAATAATACTTGGAAAGTTTTAGGAAACTATTAGAATTTATGAACATATATGAAATAGTGATATGACCAAGGGCAAATGTATAAAGGACAAAATCCAGTTAGATGATTCCTTTAATAGTTGGTGCCTGTGTGTTTTAGTGAGCATCTCCCTTATCCAAAATAGCCCAATTATGCAAAGCCAGATAATCACAGAAACAAAAATTCTCCACCTTCCTACAAATCAGTAGTTTTCATTGCATATCTATTAACCTTAAAGGTGAAAGTGGGTTCCAGACTAATGTCTTTCATGTTAGAAGCTGTATTAAATTAATTGAAAAATAAAACTGATAATAATAATAAAACAAGAGAAATGATAAACAGTAAAAGGTAAATACTTTTTAAATGTTACTCAAATAGACAATAACACCACATCTTTCAAACAACATAATTATTTGCATCATAAAAACTCTAGTTGTTGAAATTTAAAATATTGATTAAAAAGCTTCAATTGAACTTCAAATCAGCCTTAAAAAAGAAATTTCCATTTAATAAAATAGGCAAAACTTTCCTTTTACACTTATTTTTTAAAACATTTTACTTTTTTTTTTAAAAAAATGTGTTTTACTAGTCTTGAAAAAGACCTGGAATGGGTCTTTCAAAAGTTTTTCCCATTTTAAATGGAATCCAACACAGCAGTGAAGATGCAACTCCAAAGAATCTGGGAGAAAAGCAGAATACCCAAAAAACAACTTATGTGTTTCCAAACACCCAGCTTTTGGGGTTGATGCCTTCACAAAACAAGAGGGTTACTGAGCAATTCCATGAAATTTTTAAGTTTCCTCCTGGTATTCTGATGTCATCATAATCTAGCCTGTCCTAAGGAATTTTTAAAACCACCAAAACCCAGTCTTCTGCCTATATTTATCTGAACTTCTGTGCTTGAGTTTTGGATGTCTCTTCTCCTGGAAGTTCCCTCCAGTGAAACTGGAACTTTTGTCAGAAAAGTTAATATTCTCATGACTTAAATTGACTTCATTACAGTCAAGTTTATTTTACACTCTCAATTACTCACTACTGCAAGTCAACACAGCACAGAAATTAATGCATTTTGTGCCTTAAATAGTAAACACTGCAGTTTGTGAACTTTTTTGGCCAATGAATAAAAAGTATTTCATTTCTAAATCTCACCAAAAGGATTTAAATTAAACAGTAACAGATGCATTGGGCAGGCATGGGATACTAAATAAGAACTGGCAAATGAAATAATCCAGCTCTTTGCTTTGACAATGAAAATGAGAATTGGTTTTTCATTGAGAGAAGAAAAAGGATTAAGTGTTTTAAAAAAGCATTTTCCACCAAAAGAGCAAAATAGCACTCAGTGGTATAGTATTGTTAACAAAATTTCTTTATCAGAAACTATAATTTAATATTTAAGTACCTAATTTACATGTGACAAGGTATCATATTCAAAAAATTAAATTGCAACTAGAAAACTATTAACCACTAAAAACAATACCAAACACAACCCAAACATTTATAGGAAAGCAATAGCTAGAATTTGAATTGGAAAAAAAAAATTTCATCATATTTGGCTCATTAACAAAGCATCCATTACAGCCTGTAAGCATCTCTTCTAAGTCATCAAGTTTATCCTTTGTAGCATGAATAACACATAAAGATAGATTTATTGACTGCATATGCACACGTGTGTATACATATTGTGAGACGTACACTCATGTGTTGACTTAAAGATATTGTATCTACTGATAACTGGTTGAACTTTGGAAGGTGCTGAAACCCATATTTCTACATGACCTGTGACCCATTTAAAAATGTCTTTTTATAAACAGAAGTTACATAAAATACTCTGGTTTTATTAACTGACTCTTTTCTTAAGCATCATAATAGACAATGAAGGAATTGCACTTATTTTAAAGGTACAGTAAAGTGTTAGATTGCAGCTTGGCCATCAAAGATCAGGGACTGTAGTACTGAGAAGTTGTGCATTATATGCAAAGATGACGGTGGCCACTGAAATTAAAATGAGAGCAATTAATTACAGAACAAATAGGGGGATAACAGAAGAAAACATGCACTACTCCTACTTTAATGCAAAACTAATTTCTCCCCGGAAACCAACCCTTTGACTTTTCTTACACAAAGAAACAGGTTCTGCACCCTTGGCAACACAGTAGACATGGACTTCTGTATTCAAATTCTAGTTCATTGTTTCTGAGTGTGCTGTTCCAATGTCATCTCCTTAAGCTGCCCTTGAAATTCTGGAGCATCTACAATATTACATATTACAGTCTCTCAGTTAGGTTCCATTGAGCCTCAATATCCCCTTCAGCTCTATATAAATAGGGTCCTTTATTCATCTTCTTCTGGTTCCTGTGGTAACGCTGGTATTTCTTCCTTTAAACAATCACTGAAGAATCTGAGAATTGTGCTGTAGAGATGATACTTGCTCTTCTCAGATACGTTATGGCCTTCATCTGGGTAGACCTAAGATATTGAATGGAAAGGAGATTTAAAGTTGTCAAGGAAAGCCTTCTCTCTCAGAATTCATTACTTCAGCTCCATGGCAAGGGAACTTTGGAAAACAATATTTAACCAAAATCTCATGGTATTCAATTCTGAGTCTTTCCTGCTAAATGTTTCATTTTTATTTTAATTAGATCAAAATAAGACACTTGAGACAAAATACAATTTTATGCCTGTAAATTAGGATTTGTTGGGAATTCCCTGGTGTTCCAGTGGTTAGGATTCTGCCCTTTCACTGCCTGGGGCCTGGAGTTTGATCCCTGGTTGGGGAACTAAGATCCTGCAAGCCAAAAAATAAATAAAGTAAATAAATTAGGATTTGTTGTCCAAAAAGTTAGAGCCTTCTATGTTCACACTGAACAAGATGGCATTAACATCAACTTAGCTACATTTTAGACAGTTTTGTCCTGACTATAGGCCTCTGACCTCCCTTTCGAGTATTTAAGGCAGAAAACTGGCAACTGTAAATTCATTCTCTGCCCCTTTGAAATTTATATAATCTTATTTCAGACTTTTGCCAGTTTTACAATCCAGGAAATATCTTTCTCAAGGACTTGGGAACCATCTCTCTGTTTTTTGTTTTTTTTTTTTCTTTTTTTACTTTTAGTTAGTTTGGGGGCAGCGGGACTGCACCTTACAGCATGTGGTGACTTAGCTCCCAGATCAGGAATGGAGCCTGCACCCCCTGCATTGGAAGCACTGAGTCTTAGCCACCAGCCCACCAGGGAAGTCCTGGAAACCATCTCTTTGAAATGTAAACACTGAAGGAGAAAGCATCCCCATTGCCCAGTCTCCAAATTGTAAAACCATCTCTTACCATAAAGGTACAAGAAAATTTCCTTTTCCTTTCCTTTCTTTACTTTCACTTACTTTACTTTTCCTTGGCCTGTTACCAAACATCAGGACCAATGAATCCCTCCATGGGAACTCTTAAAAATTCCCCAGCCCTTTGTTTCAAAAAAGTTGAATTTAGTCTTCCTCCCTTATTGCAGTAGTCCCAAGTGAAATTTTCCTTGTTTGTTTAATTTTGCACAATGAAATTTTTACTTTGACATTGTTCTTTCCAATATAAACAGCATGAATGCGTTTTTTAAAACATAAGTGAAAATCTTGTCGCATCAGTTAAGTTTTTAGCTAGTGCCTAAAGCCTCACAGTCTACGGTCAGTGCCATGACCCTCTATCTGTTTATTGCTACATCTTCATTTTTCATCATTCTAACCGTAGTGCCTATAGTTTTGATATGCTGAACCACTTTTAGTTCTTCCAAATGCTTAAGAATGAAAGTAACTTTATTTCCCTTTCATAACTGCTCCATCAGACTGAAAGTTCCTTGATGTGTAAAGTATGTCTTCTTGACCCATTTAGTATAGAGACCCATGTAAACTAAGTCCTTGATAAATATTTACTAAATATGGTTGAATGCAGAAATGTAAATGATGTTTTCTCTTTTCCCTTTTCTCTTGTGATATTTACTCAAAACACTTAGCCCCCTACCTTTCATGAAGCGTGATGGAGACTGACAAGAAGACAAAGGGACCAGAAGGGAAATAAAATTTATCATTTTAAAAGAATTTCTTATCAGTGATATGAATAAACATCTGAGAAACAAGCATTTTTGAAAGATTTTATGCAATTCACACATAAATCAAGATGATCTACATTCTCACTGTAATAAGGAAGTAAAGACAATTTGGCAAAAAAAAAAAAACACACATAGAACAAATAAAAGGGTGGGAGATGGAATCATACAAAAATTGTGTTCTGTATCTCATGACAAGAAACTAAGGTAGAAAAACACATTCTTCTGAAAAAGTGGCTTACCTGCATAGTATAGTTCACTCCAGCTTTTATTAGGTGTTTGATTAATTCTGCTGAATGCTGGAAATGAACTTTGGCTGCAAGAAATTAAATTATGATATTGAAGGAAATACATTTTTCAGGATTAGAACATTTTTATAACATTTTTTTCAAAGAAATTAAGTATTTTACTTTACATCCAGTGCACATTTAAAAGACTGATACCTAGCTTTACCTGGAAAGCCAGTCGATACAACAGTAATAAAACTTTGAGCTTCACATTATAAAAAAATACATTAAAGCAGGAGTTACTACTAAGTCTCTACTCACTCTACAGAATGGTGGTTAGATTTATTTTACTGAATGCCATTGATTATTTCTAATTATTCACATATTTTATACCATGATAATAATTTTAACAGAGTGAATGCCTGCCTGTCTGGATAGTAATACAGCAAACCAGCCTTCCTCGTTTCTAAGGGTTACTAGGGTCAATCTCAGACACTGATATTCTGCTTTATATCAAATTAGGAAGAAAAACACATCTTGAGAAAATAGCATGCACATCTCATTACTCAGGGCTAAATATTTAACATTGACCATATTGGTTTCTCCTCTTTCCTTCTAACTTGCTACTCCCTGAACCTCAGTTACAAAACCGAAATGAGCAGGGCAGCAGCCTGAGTGTGGCAGCGACGCTGACCTGAGCGAGCGATGAAGACGGACAAATCCCTCCAACAATTCTGTGTAGCGTTCTGCTCACAGGACGCCTTGGCTGTACATTCTTAAACTATGCATCTTCAAACTCCTGTAAATAACTTTTAAGCTAACATTTTTCAATTGTCTTTGTAAAAGTAGGGCAGCCTTACCAATAGTTTAAACTTCTTCATTGCTCTAATGCTATGGTTCTGATTGATCCTGCTACAGAGCAGAAAATAAAAGACTCCAAATAATCATTTTCATCTTTTAAAAGTCTCGTAATCTTTTCCAACATTCTCTTGTTGTACTTAATGGGAAAATTACCATGTCATTTTTAAATAACTGTGCAAATTGCTCTATAAATGTAGGCCACCATAAATGCTAATAAATAGGGTAGTGACTGAGGTAAAATGATACTTTATATACCTCATTTGTTTATTGTGAAAACAAATTGAAAAAGACTCCATCATTCAGCTTTATGGATAAAGCTGAAAATAAACGTGCAAATGGATTTACCAGTTTTTTTTTTCCTGTTTAGTTTGTAGTTCAAAGCATGTTGATAATTGCCATGTATCCCTTCTTAAAACTAAACAGAGGCATTAAAAGTCTAATTGGTTGAGTTTCCTGATTTGATGATGATTTTGGAAGATAATACTAACAATGGTAGTATTATATTACTATTGACTGACTACCTATACTCCATCAGTCCCATATGGAATACGTGCATGTGTGTGAGAGTACATTTGTGTGTGTGTGTGTGCAAACACACAGGCGCATATCCTTTGATGTGACTGGTGTTGAAGGTCTACTTACACCTTATCAGGTCGGTGGAACATACCACATAGCATTGAGAGTTCCCAGTCTACTCCACAGGCTCTCATCACTTAGTAGCCTTTGAGGCAAATTACTAAGCAGGGGGAAGGGAGGAGGATTAAGCTTTGCCTCCTTGAGGTGGGGCACCTATGGAAATGGTTTGGAAGTCTACCTAAGGGAGATTTGCCCCTTCTCCCTCATTTACCTATTTATTCACATATATACTATATACATAATATAAACATATTGTTATCGGCATTGATATGAGCTCTAATTTAACTATTTTAACTATGACCTGACATGCTTAAAAGTTAAGTTTCAGGGCCAATGTTATCTTCATTATAAGACCTTGTTAGTAATATTCTCTGAAAAATGGGATAAAAATACTGAGGCAAGGTAGGGTGGACTGACAAAAACAAGTTTAAGATTTAGGAAATATTGCTTCAAGGCTTTGCTTCTCTTTGTTCACTTGCCAGGTAGCCTTGGATAAATCAGTTTCCTCCTTGAAATTGATTTTTCTCATCTGTGAGTGGAGCTATAAATACTCAGCCCTCTGTTGTAAAATTTCACATAAAATAATAAGAAAAAAGATATAATTTCTTTGAGCCACAAACACTTCAGGTGAATATAAAATGATATTATTTATTACTAGTAGTATCAATCACATCCCTCTCCAATGTATAAAATAATAAAAAAAGGAGATGATACAAAAGTGCTTTTTTTGGTTTTTGTTTTAACTTAAATGAGAAATCTCAGCAAAATTTCATCTCAGTGCCGGCACCTTTGGCTACGCTGTTGTTTTTCAGTTTAGAGTCCATTTGCGGTATGCGGAACATGGCCCTAGTAGTGACTAACCACACATGGCTATTTATATTTAAGTTAATTACAATTAAATACAATTTAAAAATTCAGTTCCTCAGTCATACTAAACATGTCAAGTGCACATGGCCAGTGGTTACTGTGTTCAGCTGCACAGACATTTCCATCATCACAGTTTTACTGGACCGTGGCTGCCATCAAGACCCATTGCCTCCTCCACTCTTAGTCCTGATGTCCTTCTGTCCTTCTGCTCACCTCCTACCAGGTATCAGATTGTTTGTGCCACTCTCTTCTGCTCTCCTCCCCAGGTTATAGCACCTCCTGTAAGCAAATCCGTGGAGGTGCCCCTTTGTTCAAGGTCAGACTCCATCAGTCAGTAGCAGCCATCAACTGATACTAAGTAGCTACTTACTGTCAGCCGTCCCATGGATTATTAATATATTTTCTTCTTTTAAGCCATGAATATTATGTAGTACACTAGATGCCTATAAATAAAAACACAAAAATCTGTAGAGATTAACCTATATTTGTTTTCAGAGTTTTTAGAATAAAATTGCTATTCTTTATTCATTGTTTTTAAGTTAGTTACCTGGTATGTGCTTTCGTCTTTTGATGGCATACCAAGATATCTTTCAGAGAAAGCTGAGGCTGTGATCCAAGAAAACAGAAATTTAAGGATACACTAAAAACCATTTGACTAGCACATTTCATTATTTAGTTTCTATCTTTCGCATTTAATTGCCATGCACCAGTAAAACTGATTGAATCAGAGAGGTGATAAAACTGCTGAAAACATCTCTGATATTACATGGTAAATGACCTCAATTGAGCATCTCTACATGAGGACTTTTGTTTCTGTAAATCAATACATTATTTTAGGTCAGTCTGTAGGAAGTACTCACCATACAACTTCAAGTCTATAATGGGTGCAATCACTGATCCACATTTAAAAAGTTTTTCATCTGATTTTAAGATCATGGATGCAATATAGCCACCATAGCCCTGGTCAAAAAAAAAAAAAAAGTTTATATATATGTAAGATTATTGACTATTCCTGGAGATGTTTTAATGTTTTATCTTTTGGTCACTGTTAGTTAATATACATATCAGAATGTCTCATAACACTCCAGATTTGAGCAAAGAATGCACAAAACATTATGTACAGATGAAAACTGTGAAAAGTTATTTAAATTTTTATATAATGTTATTTCAATAAATTTAGGTAAAATATAAAATTTATTTATCATCAAGTCAAATATTTGCTCTCTTTGATCTGATATCTGGGAATAGCTCCAAATAACTTGAAATCAGGGTAACATGTACATGCATGCTAAATTGCTTCAGTCATGCCCGACTGTTTGTGACTATGGACTACAGCCCACCAGGCTCCTCTGTCCTTGGGATTCTCCAGGCAAGAATACTGCATGGATTTCCATGTCCTCCCCCAGTGGATCTTTATAACCCAGGGATTGAACCCCCATCTCTAATGTCTCCTGCATTGGCAGGCAGGTTCTTTACCAGTAGTGCCACCTGGGAAGCCCAGTGATTAAATCATATATCATTTTAGACATATATATTTATTAAAACAGCATATTCACTTAATAAAACATTTAAAATTATGATTATTAAGAATTAAGAAAAAAAGAGAAAAAAGAACTAAGAAAGAAGAATTAAATATTTAACATATATCATCACAAGTATAGATTCTGTTTTCAATCCACATAACTAAATATTTGAAAGAACTCATATATGATAAATACTTTTGCTAGTTAGATGTGTTAGATTATTTTTAAATTCAATTTTTAAATATCCACCTTGAAATGCTTTTGAACAAATCTAATTATACATTTAAAAATATATAAATCAAGGTGTCTAGTTTTCTTTTGAAGACCATTTTTCTGACTAGAAAAATTCAAGAGGAGATTGTAATAACCTTAGTAATGCTGGGTAAATAGGATGACTTAGTAAGTTGTCAGTGCATTTTAGGCATTAATTTTTGCTGTGCTCTTGGTGTTGGGTTTCATTTTGCCAGACACTGGAATATCCTGATAGGTATTAACAATAAAGATATTAATATTCAAGCCTTATTTCAGACATTCTAATGCAAATGGTTCATGATAAGCTTTACTTGTGAAAGATTTGCAGATGATTCTAGTTTTGGTGCTATAGGAAATTATTATTTTCTCTATAACTCTTGAGATGAGAAATAAATTATGTCATTTATGCCTATCTAAAGCATCATTTAAAAATGGGTATTGGAAAGTCCAAAATGCAGCCAGAGATTACTATAGTGGTTGAGAGAACATATGTGAAGAGTAGCAGAATATACCACCCAAAAGTACGCCACTTGGTATATTGATTATTTTGAGCTGTAAGCACTTGCAAAAACAGCAAATGCAGAGAGAGGCTTTCTCTTTCTCTGAATGTCTTTATCTGCCTAAAGGCAGATCCTCCAAAAGGAAATCAATTGTTCAAGGGCCCGTCCCTGGAAGTTTCATCAATGAGGGAAGATTGATTCTTGTCACAGGAAAGGAGACTAGAAATTGACACCACACCCAGACTCACTGTGTCACAAGCCTTGCTTCCCATCTATTCTTCTAAGGCCCCATGTGTTTCCTAACAGGAACTTGAAAAGAAAGTGAAAGCATTAGTCACCCAGTCGTGTCCAATTCTTTGCAACCCCAGGGACTGTAACCTGCTAGGCTCCTCTGTCCAGAAGATTTCCTAGGCAAGAATACTAGAGAGGGTTGCCATTTCTTTAGCCAGGGGATTAAATCCTCACCCAGGGATTAAACCTGGGTCTCCTGCAGTGCAGGCAGAGTCTTTGCCATCTGAGGCATCAGCGAAGCCCAGAAAGAATTTACTCTCTCTTAACACACTTATATCCCCTCTCCCCGTCCCAGTTGAAGCTGAGCAGGTCTGAGGGGCTCCTCAGCACAGAAGACTATCTGTCCCCCTTTTCTTGTTTGTAGGGAGTAGATAAGATTCCAACATCCATGGCCTTCCCCGAGTTCCAAAGGGCAGGTTCAAACAGTTGCTAATCAGGGAAGGGAGGGGATGCAGAGAAAAGGGAGGAGTAGTCAGAAACAATAGTGGAGCATATTAAAAAGCGGAGATATCACTTAGCTGACACAGGTCCCTATAGTCGAAGCTGTGGTCTTGCAAATAGTCACGAATGGATGTGAAAGTTGGACAGTAAAAAAGGCTGAGCACCAAAGAACTGATGCTTTCAAACTGTGGGGCTGGAGAAGACGCTTGAGAGTCCCTTGGACAGCAGGGAGATCAAATCTGTCGATCCTAAAGGAAATCAACCCTGAATATTCACTGGAAGGACTGATGCTGAAACTGCAGTATTTTGGCTACCTGATGTGAAGCGCCAGCTCATTGGAAAAGACCCTGATGCTGGGAAAGATTGAAGGTAGAAGGAAAAGGGGACAGCAGAGAATGAGATGGTTGGATGGCATCACTGATTCAATGGATATGAGCTTGAGCAAACTGGGAAATAGTGAAGGACAGGGGAGTCTGGTGTGCTGCAGTCCATGGAGTGGCATAAAGTCAGACATGTCTTAGGGCCTGAAAAACGACGACAAAATTCCCTTCTTGGTAAAGAGAGGGAGACATAAACAGATTTTCTTTATAAATGTAAATGTTCCTTGCAAAAGGATAACTTCTACTGTTCTTAAAGCTTCTCCTGTTTATGCTGTTTCTTAAAATAATCAGGTCAAAAAAATGTTTATGCCAAAGAGACATATTCTGGAACAGCATATTCTGCTCCTCTTCAGAAGTATGAAGAAGTGAATGAGTCATGCAAAGCATGTAAATAAATAGCAATTGTACAGCAAAAGTGTTGAGAGACTGAAAAGTCTCTCCCTATAAGGAAATTTTCAAGCATATTTTCTAGTTTCTAATTCCCTATCATGAAGATTGAGACCACGGTGTTGCAGACAAGAGGTTTCAATTATTTCCCAAGCAGCAACAGTATTATCATAGTGAAAAACGCATCTTAGCTGACAGCTTTTCTGGTTCTAATTCCACAACTACCATGATTTCTGATTATGATTCTGTTATTTATATAACTTGACTACTTTGCGAGAATAACTGAATATAACTATCCTGAGAATAATTGTATATCATATTTAAATAATATAAATTAGTAGATTGTATTATGTTTTTTATCTCAGTTTCACATGATTCTCAAAGTCTGATTAACTCCAGGAAGTAAGAAAGGTATCTTTCACAGGAGGCACAGATTTCAGAAAAACACCTGAATGTTCTTTTTGAGTTCTACTTGAGAGTCTTTTTAAATTCATATTCTAAACCAGTAAATTTGGGATAGGGCCCAAGATTTTGCATTTTTAACAAACTCCCAGGTTGCTGGTCCATATATTGAATAGAAAGTTCTTATTGTGTAATAATGTAATAAGGATTCCCACCAGAATATCTTCTAACTTCAGCCAGGATTCCCTAGACTAGTGGAACTTAAAAAATATATATATGTACCAATGCCCTCAAAATCAATTGAATCAATACATGTAGAATGGGCTGTGGAGTTCTCCATGTGATTTTAAGTGAAAGTACTGCTGTAAATCACTGCTGCTGCATAAAACATTGTATTTGACTTCTTTAAAAAAAATATCTGGCATTTGGGATCAATGAAAGTAAGTTGAAAACTTAATAGTAGTGTAAGTTTTTGAATAAAACTCTCTCTATAGCATTTAAAAATCTAATTCAAAATACTGCTTTAATCTGATTTATTTCAGTTAATAAATTCTATTTTTAAAAGAAAATCAATACTGGCAGGATTAAAATAAATTTTAATTGCTTACATTCTTCTCCATCATTTCATGTTTATTTACTGAATATAAGAACAGATCATAGTAGCTTTATCTTAGTTTATTTATGGAATCTCCATACTGTTCTCCATTGTGGCTGTATTAACTTGCATTCCTACCACACTCCCAAATGTAAAATAGCCAGTGGGAGTCCATGTATGATGGTTCCCTCCCATGCAGGGAACCCAAGGACAGTGCTCTGTGACAACCTAGAAGGGTGGGATGGGGAGGAGGTGGGAGGAAGTTTAAGAGGGAGGGCACATATGTACACCTAATACAGACTCGATGTATGGAAAAAAAGTCACCATATTGTAAAGTAATCATCCTCTAATTAAAATAATAAAATATATAATAATAATAATAAAAAGATTAGATCATGAAAAAGTTCTTGGAAAAATAATATTCCACAAGATGTTAGGAATCTAAGTTCTAGTTAGCTATGGAATGGTGCTTCAATTTTCAAAGTAACTCATATCTATCAGGAAGATGCCAAAAACCGGGGTTCACCATATTGAATGTAATTAATGAGAGGATGTTTTATTAATGTGATATAGACCAATAATGGTCAATAGTTGGTATAGGCTGCTATGTTTCAGATGCGCTGTCATCTTATTGGTATTCTCAGTGATCAGATTTTTCCTTCATTACAATTGTTACATCATGTGAATCTGCAAAGAATCTTTAGCATTACTTGTAAAATTTTAACAAACTAATCTAGATTTTAAAAAGTTTAGTCTGTGGATTTAAAGTATAGAAAATTTTATTTCTTTAAAAAATATATTTTACCCATGGTGTAAGAAATTGAATCCAAAAGACAAAAGGACTAGAAGAGCAGGGGAGAGGGGAAATCTATACTACCATTTTACTGAGGACTTACATTTTCATGGGCCTCATGTTTTGAAATAATAAAGTGACTTTTGAAACTGTGCAAAAAGGTTTCATGGTTGCAATCAAAAATATATAGTAACAGAGCTAAAAAAAAAGTTTTCCTACAGCTTTAGGCTTGTATGATTTCCTCTGAATCACATCACTTCTAATATATAGTGAATTGATTTGAAGTAAAAATACTGCAAACACTTTATGAATAATAAATTTATTATATTAATTTGGATGAAAACTGTTTAATTTGTTTAATGTAGTCACATATACTATATTACAATTTTTATATTC